ATCAAGGGGACCAAACGCAAAAAGGCCCCTGGACATGATGAAATATCGAATGAGGTCCTCAAGAAACTACCAACAGCAATAATTGATAACCTCACTACAGTGGCAAACGCAATAATGGACCTTCAGTACTTTCCGAACAGCTGGAAGAAGGCAATTGTGGTATTGGTGCCCAACAAGGGAGCAAGCAGGAAGCTGCTCAAGTCCTACAGGCCTGTCAGCCTATTACCTATGATGGCCAAAGTTATGGAGAGGTGTATCCTGCACTACATCCAGGATACAATAGAGGACAAGAAAGTGCTGCTGGATGAGCAACATGGATTCAGGCCGGGCCATGGCACTAACACACTCACCACCCGGCTAACCACGAGGATTCAACTAAGGTTAAACCGCCCGAGAAACGGTCTAGGAGCCGTCTTCCTAGACATGTCAAAGGCGTTTGACAAAGTTTGACACCAGGCCCTGATAGCCAAGATGATAACAGCCGGCTTTCCGGGACACCAAACTAAGCTCATCAGCAGCTACCTATCTGGACGCAGCTGCCAGGTCAAAATCGAGAACCAGCTCTCAACCAGTAGACCGGTGATGTCAGAAGTACCACAAGGATCAGTGCTGGGCCCTACTCTCTTCAACATATACATGGCAGACTTTCCAACCAATGCCAATACGGAGTGCTACATATATGCAGACGATGTCGCACTCACTGCAGCAGGTAAGGGCCCTAAAATGACCACTAGACTCCAAAGACATCTCGGTCAGGTCCAGCAATGGAGTAGGAACTGGACAATGGAGTTTAACCCGGAGAAAACGCAAGTCATTTTCTTCACCAGGGCTCCAAGACGCCGCCAACCATGCTAGAGCTTGCAGGACAGCGGCTGCCCTGAAGGTCCAAGGTAACCTATCTTGGACTTATCTACGACAAGCGACTGGTATGGCACGACCAGATGACAGCCACCACAGCGAAGGCAAGATACCTGCTCCAGGCCTACTATCCTCTGCTGACAGGCAAGCTCTACCTGAGAACAAAGGTTAGAGCTTA